CTCTCTCTCTCTCTCTCTCTCTCTCTCTCTCTCTCTCTACTTGCTCTCTCTCTCTTTTTTTTTTTTTTTCTCTCTCTCATAGGACATGTTTTACATTTCTTTCAAATTTGAACAATTTAAACAAAAATTAAACACTTGATTAAATAACTATCTCTATTCAAAAATTGTTTAATATACTAAAATCAAACATATATCGTGGTTTTGTTTTTTTCGTTTGTCGTTTATGGTTTGATGTTTTTATAGGTTTCTGAGAGACGAAGCTGAATACAACAAGTACAACCAACCAATTGCCACGATATCTTGACCAACTTCGAGCCTCAGAAGAAAAACAAGCTCGCAGACGACAAATCGTTCATACTACCACAAAAGAGATTCTTGACTACATCGACCAACCAGAAAAAGATACATCATGAATTGTTGTAAAAAAAGGATTGCTAGTAGACATAGAAATACGAGAATATTTAAACAAGCAATTGTTAGATCTTTATTTGAGCGACATAGATCAACCAGAAGTAGTTGAAGCTGTTCACGCAGCTTTACAAAAAAAAGATGAAAACACTCGCTTCGATATTCTACCTATATTAAGAAAAGGAATAGTATATGATTTGCCATTACAACGTGACCTTTCGCCAATTGGATCGTGCATAACATTCAAACGATGCACAAAACTTGTTAGATTTGGTTATCCACAAATAGCATGTTTTAACACAAACAAAAGATCTATGGATCCTATGCCAAAGTTATTACCACAACCAAACACATCTCAACATGCAGCATCAACATCATTAGATGTTAACAATCATATAAAAACGATTACCTCAGACCATAAACTACATAAGCAATGAAAGCGCGAACATACTAAGCAAACATTTGTGCCCAAAGCCCCTTAAAGACCTATGCCAAGGCTATAGTTAAAAGTTAAAGGCCTTAAGTGAAACTCTTATTGATTGTAACCAATTTTGACTAAAAACCCTAAGTGAAGGCTATAATTGCATACACAAGACACAAGGAATTTGGATATGAAAGCCCTGACACGCTACCCAAACATGCCACCCAAAACACTTCAATGAAGGCCCTATGCCTGTCTCTTATACACATCTAGATGTGTATAAGGAGTGTATTATGTTGGGGGGAAAGATAGCCCGATTGATTGATTGATTGATCCGGGTATTCCGTTTTCCGTCTTCCCCCCCCCCCCCCTCCCTTTTCTCCTCTCCTCCCCGTCATCGCTACTATCTGACCAAGAACATGGTTTGTGTACAATCCACGTATCATGAATGTATACAAACCGTTTTCCGGTCAGATGCTGTATAGATGAGGGCGGGAGAGTGTGTAGTGTTCGGGGGAAAGATAACTTGATTAATCCGGGTATTCCGCTTCTCGTGTTTCCCCGAACACTACGCACCCGGGCCCCCCTTCTCCCCGGCCCCCCCCTTCCCCCCCGTCCCGCCGGTCATTGACCGGAAATATGGGTTGTATACATTCATGATCAGTGTGCGTTGTGTTCGAACTTTGAAAAGTTGAGCGGAGCTCTTGCAGACGGTGAAGAAGAAGATGGAGTGAGAGCTGGACCAGAGGCGACGTTTGGCGCTAGAGATTAGGGTGAAGCAAATGAGGAAGCCAAGGTGACTCTGTCATGGGAAAGTTGAGGAGACGGAGAAAAAAAACATGGAGAAACGATCAAGAAGAAGAAGACAAGGGAAGCCCGCCTTTTACGAAATACTGCCTGCGTTTACCTTTTGGGGAGATGATAAAGGTGGCTGAAAACGTGATGTTTTAGGGCGAGATGAGGGTATCACATCATGTAGATAAATTCGATGAATAGCACGGAATCTCGAGGAGCGTGACGGAGGGAAATGTCGAGCCGGGTAACAAGTAGATCAAGGAGGTGAGAACATCAACCTCACGTGACGGACGCAGAGAGAGAGAGAGAGATAGAGAGAGCGAGAGCGAGAGAGAGAGAGAGAGAGAGAGAGAGAGAGAGAGAGAGAGAGAGAGAGAGAGAGAGAGAGAGAGAGAGAGAGAGAGAGACTGAAGATGACATTGTGATCGTCAAGACACTTTGTGTTTGTGGCGATGGTCTGTGTATGACCCGCGGAGTTCTCAAATCGTCGTTTATAGGGTATCTTCTTAATCTCATGTGGCGGGTCGATATGCCATTGTTCTTCTCTATCTCATGTATTTTGTAATGTTTTTTTCTGATTTTTTTTTCTAAGTTCTCTATTTTGTAATGTTTTTTTGGCGATATTCTAAAAAAAACTTCTATCTTTTTGAGCGGTTTGAAGACCGACGCTCTCTAACCGTGAAGCTTCTGCCTTTCATCTTCCTCCTCTGTCCGACCGATATACGCTCCCTTTTTTTTTTTTTTTTGGTTCAGTTTTTGGCTGATTTGTCGTCGACGTCGATCTCCACCTCTAGTAATGGGCGCGCTGTCTGTTTCCATTTGTAATGTTTTTCCCTCAAAGAAAGCAATTATATAAAAAAAACTGAATGGATTTGTCTTTCTTTTCTTTTTGTTTTCTTTTCGCTTTTGCGCTCTGATAACTTTGTGACAATATATTCAAAGTAGGGTATATGGGGTATAGTGACATTGATTTCGTGGTTTAGGAATTTTTGGGGCAACCACTGTCGTCTTCACCCAAATAGAACACCCGGTAATTATCGGCGTATCTGGGCTGAAAGTTGTGCCAAATACACAGCGATAATGATCGGGCGTTCTATTCGAGTGAAGACGGCAGACCCTATAATTGTGCCCAAGTTCACCTGAATGATGGCGATAACGACTTTGTCGATGGAGTCGCTTGAGATATGGAATGGGGTTTTCGAACAAGAGGTTGCGTTATGCGAAAGAGACTCTTATGATTGTACAAAATTGTCACCGACAATTTCTCGAACAGCGTGATGTCATCACTTTGATACCCTATTTGTTATTAGGGATGTTAAATCCAGGGGAGTGATGCAGCCGAAGAAGCCCTTGTCGACCGAGTATGAAGGGTCTATTAGGGGATTTATCGGACGATATTGCAACAGTCGATGTCCTTTTTTTTTTTTTTTTTTTTTCCCCTTCCATAAGGGACGGCGGCCTTGAGATGTTATTATCGAACTGGTAGTTTAGACGTAATTTGATTTCACTCATTTTCTATTTTTTTTTCCCACTCGTTTAGTTCCATTTGGATACTCAGATGTGTATTTCAAATGTTAATCTTGACCGTCCGAAGTGAGCTAGGCCTTCTGAGCCACGGGCAGTATGCTGTATGTGGAGAGTGTACGTATGGTTGTCATCATGACGGTAATGATGCTAAAGGTAATCAGAAAGCCCGTGAGGCGGAGTATTAGGACTCCTGGGCTTGGTCTTCCCCCTTCTGGCGCGCGATGAGTAGTTATTTGTCTTGTTGTTTGTCCGAACAGTAGGTAGCTAGCGGAAGGAGGAGAGGGGAGTAAGCTTTGCTTGGCAGTCAATGAAGGAGCTGGAGATGGGGGAGACTAACCCCGTGCTGGACAGCCAATCGAGGACCTTGGAGAAAGGTCGTGTAGCGTTGGTCATATGGTGGAGATATGGCATTCCTAGTTCGGTATTCCGGTTTTCTTCTTGTCGTGCTTCTTGCTTCTCCGTCCGTCTGTATCTACATCTGGGTGAATTTCGGGGTTATGAGAATGAAAAGTGATGATGGGTTGCGTCTTTATTACAACCGACTTGCTCCCAATGTGTTCGGTTCCATCATGACATGGGCTCAAAATCTTTGGTGTGCGGCGCAGCTCTCAGTCTCCCCCCCCCCTCGCCCTCCATCTTGCGGAAAAACGTTCAATCTTGTCTTTGCCTCCCTCCCTGGCTCTCTCACTCTCTCTTTGCTTCCCTCCCTTGCTCGCCCACTCTCTCTTTGCCTCCCTCCCTCCGAGTCACTCTCTCTCTCTCTGCGTCCCTCTCTCGGTCTGTCACACGCTCTGTGCCTCCCTCCCTCGCTCTCTCACATTCTTTGTCTCCCTCTCTCGCTCTATCACTATCTTTTTCTCCCTTCTTCCCTCGCTCTCTCATTCTCTTTGCCTGTCTCCCTCCCTCTCTCACTCTCTTTGCCTCCCTTCTTGCTTTCTCTCTCACACTCTTTCGTAAGGTCGCTCTGTCAATCGTAGTAGTTCACTCTCTCCCATTGCCGCTCGTCCTCGGGTCGTCGTCTTGTATGGTTAACTCTGTTCCGCAATTGTACATCGCCATGTGGGTTGTCCACGTGTCATCCTTAGCAGCGTGCAACGAGCCATCGCCGCCGAAACCCGTAGTGGAGCCTGCGTGTGTTTGATCTTTCCGGCCCGTTGTTTCCATTCTGTTGTCCTTTTTCTTCTTTGGTTAAGAGTGGATTTGATTAGATTAAGATTAGATTATAGATTAGACTATAGATTAGACTAGATAGATTTGCCTTTTCTGCTTATGCGAGCTTCCTCGCTGTGTGTAATACCAGCATGTTATTACTCTTGTAGTCGATCAACCTTTTTTTATCTCTTTTCCCTCTTCTCCCTCTGTAATACAGCCTTATTTCCCTCTACTGCTGACGGTTTTTGGCTTGTCCTCCTCCTTTCCTTCCCCCCTTTTCCCCCCTCCTCCCTCGTGCTTTTTTTTTGTTTTTTTTTTCTGCTAATTCCTATTGGTATTTTTTTTTTTTTACCGTTACAAGTATCAACCGGCCGGGAACAGTTTTTACCTCCCTGTATGCATTCAAATGTTGATGGATGGCGAGTAGTGCAACTAGGTCCTTAGTGGGGCACACGCGGGAATCGGAGGGGAAAGTTTCGTCATGCCACGTGGCAAACATCTGGGTGGTGCAGGGATGGGGGTAAGAGAGGGAAAACAGCAGCTGGACTACAGCAGCAGAGATGAAAATCTCGAGGGCGAAGTTTCACCGTACCATCGCCGGAAGGGGGTTCCGTTGTGGAATGCAGAGTGAAGGTTGTGATATGAGTTGATGGATGAAGTTGCATGAGGAGGGGGGAAGCATGAGAAAGGAAAAGAAAAGCAGCGAGTGAAGGTGGATAGGAGTGTGCTCCCGCGTACACACACACACACACACACACACACAGAGAGAGAGAGAGAGAGAGAGAGAGAGAGAGAGAGAGAGAGAGAGAGAGAGAGAGAGAGAGTGGTTGACACAAAAGTCTGAAAAGTTTTATTTTTATTTTTATCTAGCGGATCATCATCATCATCATCATCATCACACTTTGATTATGTGTATAGAAGCTATCTTTATCTCAAATAATCAGGGTGTGTTTGTGTGTCTGTGTGCGTATGTGTGTGTGTGTGTATGTGTGTGTGTGTGTGTGTGTTAGACACAGAGAGAAGAACGGTCGCCGATGATAGCACACAGGTCAACGGAGCATCGCCCAACGCTAGCCAACAGAAAGGTGAATAAAAAAATACGACGACGGCAGAGAGAGACAGAGAGAGCTGCGCAAGGAAAAGGCAGTTGCGGACATAGTGGATTTTGAAACTGGAGAGCGATCTGGCTGTGTTCGTCTTTTATTACAATTATCGTTTTTTTTTTTTTTACTTGCCTCTTCCACCTTTTCGATTCCACCTTTGAACTTTGCCCTCAATCTCCCATCTCGATCTTTTTGCAGTGATAATTGCTTATGACTGGGCGGCATTCTATTCGAGTGAAGAGGGTATGTCTGAAGAAATCAAACGGAAGAGGGATTGCATACCAATCAACCGATTCGTTCGTCGAATCCTTTTGCCAATTCAACAAGGAACAGGTTAATCTGAGGCATGCACACAAGCACAAATTTACTGTGTTATGCGGGTGTCTTTTGATTTTTACCCCTCGTCGTCCACCCGAGTACAACGCACCTTAAACAACAATGTATACAAGCAGTATTTGCAGTCAGATACAGTCATGCTAAGGTTGCTTTGAATTCGTGGAAGACCGTAGTCGTCGATGATGAGTATGATGCGTTATAATGACGTGAGTTGATGATAGTGATCGATGGTGATGATGATTAGTGATTGATGATGATGATGATGACGATTGTTCATTGATGATGATGGTTGGTGATGGATGATGATGGATGATGATGGATGATGATGGATGATGATGATGATGATGATGATGATGATGCCAACAGTAGTCTTCTGTCGTTCGCTCTCTCGTTTTCAGACCCGAGTGAAAGTTCTGGCTCCATATCCATTCTGGGGAGCATGACTCCATAGGATTGGAAAACAACTCCTGAAACACTGCAGGCCACCACTTCGGCATATGAAAAGAGAAAGACAGGGCAGGGGAGAGGACGGAAGATGGAGAGGAGAGGAGGGCGGAGCGAAAGGGAACACAACACGGAGTTTACTATAAAAGATCATGACAGAAATCGGTGCATCCTGCCAGCAAGTACCACTGCATGATATAAAAGGGAGAAAGAGAAGGAGAGAGATGGAGTAGGGAGAGGTGTAGATGAAGACAGGAGAGCGGAGAAAGACGAGGACAAACATGGAGTAGGGAGAGGTGTAGATGAAGACAGGAGAGCGGAGAAAGACGAGGACAAACATGGAGTAGGGAGAGGTGTAGATGAAGACAGGAGAGCGAGAAAGCGACAGAGAGAGAGAGGTAGGCAATCGATGCTCATTTACTTCAGTGTGTTCTCTCTCTCTTACACGCGATGATGATTGAACCCATGATCTCTCTCTCTCTCTCTCTCTCTCTCTCTCTCTCTCTCTCTCTCTCTCTCTCTCTCTTGCCCTTCACCTTATTTTACTTTATTTTATGCACTCTCCAAACTCAAACTTGGGATTTGATTAGTCGGGACTCAGGACAGGGTGACATTTTTTTTTTAATTGCTTCGGGCCCGGGAATCGGTTGGGTAGAACATGACACAACACGATATGACGTGGCTCCTCTGGTCCAAAACACAAAGGCTCCTTACAGACTTGATGCTTACCACAGCACACAAAGCTTATCTATAGACTGCTAACAACATCGTCACACTAGCTAACATTCATCTAGATACACGCAAGTCACATCTTCCTCCATTACTTTATCACGGATGTCTCTGCAACCTGCACTACTGGCGGCACACACTGCACTGCAGCTCCTCCTCCTCCTTAGCCGTGTCCGTAGATGTTTCCTCCTCCAGGTAAGTGATCTTCTGTACTACTGGCGGCACACACTGCACTGGGTCCCTGCATTCTTGTCACTGACGTCGCTCTCAAAATCACTGTGTCAGTCCAGATGCTGCTGTTCACGTTCAACCGTGTCCGTAGATGTTTCCTCCTCCAGGTAAGTGATCTTCACCTTGATCTCGTTTGTAACTCCGTCCCGTCTGCATCTCCTCTTCACACGGTACTTCGCCTCAGTTATCGCCATCTGCAAGACTGAGTCCGCCCTCATGTCTTCCTCTCTCCCTCCTTCCACGTTTATCCTCAGCTTAGCCTCGCCTCTGTCATAGTTGTAGTCCAACACAGCAGTCACCGTAGGTCCATCTCCCGACATCCGTTCCCATCTACAAAGGGATTGGATGCATCTCGACCTATAGCCGTATAGTCCATTGGTTCGGACCATGTCTGTCCTCTCCGGAAACGTTGCCCGATACCAGGCTAAGGACGATCTCCCACACTAACTTTCCCGTCTCTTTTGTAGGTTGTCTCATGCCATGACCCACGCGCTTTGAACAACAAAATGGAACTGCTGTATTTCCCTTTCTCTAGTTCAAGACCCAATAAACGAAAATAAATAAATAAAATGAACTAAAGAAGGACATTGAAGGAGCAGGCTCCAACAACCATTATGTAATCGACCCGTTTTTGTTCCCCTCCCTAATTTAAAACTGCTCGTCGGTCTATTGTCCTCAGTTGCCCGTATCTCTTCCCCTCCTCCTCCTCCTCCTCCTCCTCTCTCTCTCTCTCTCTCTCTCTCTCT